GTTATTTATTTTGATATCATCATTGTCATTGTTTCTGTGGTTGATGTTGTGCTATTATTATTGTTATCATTATTATCATTATTATTATTATTATTGGTATTAACAATAGTATTTTATTCATTTTATTATTGCTGTTATTTATTTTGATATCATCAGTGTCATTGTTTCTGTGGTTGATGTTGTGCTATTATTATTGTTATCATTATTATCATTATTATTGTTATTGTTATCATTGGTATTATTATCATCATTATTATAATTATCATTATCATTATTATCATTATTGTTATTATTATTAACGATATCATTATCATCATTATTGTTATTATTATTATTACTATTACTATGATCATTACTATTATTATAATTTCTTTTTTATTATAGATATTATTATTATTATCACTGTTACTATTACTATTATTGTGATTTCTTTTTTTTATTATAGTTATTATTGTTATCATTGTTACTATTACTATTATTATTATTATCATTATCATCATTAATGTAATTATTTATTATGATTATTATTATTATTGTTATTACTATTATTATCATTGTTAATGTCGTTATTGTTATTATTATCATCATTAGTAGTAGTAGTATTGCTAATGTTATTATTGTTATTATTATCTGTATTACTATTATTATTATTATTATTATTATTATTATATTTATCAATTATTATTATTATTATTATTATTATTATCATCATTATTATCATTATTATTATTATTATTATAATTATTATCATTATTATCATTATTATTGTTATTATTGTTATTATTATTATTATTTTTATCATTATTGTTATTACAATTTTCATTAATATTACTAATATTATTCTCATTCGTAGTAGTGGTATTTGTTCCATTATAATTATCATTACTATCATTGTTTTTCTCGTTACGTTTTTATTAGTATCATTATTAGTATCCTTATTATAGTGATATTTTTTATTATCATTATTGTTATAATTATCATCATCATCACTTTTCAACATTATTTTCATTATCATCATTATCTTTATGGTCTTTATTATCATTATTATTGTCATTGAATTTAGCAGTTATAGTGTCCTTTATTATTACTTCAGTTTCACCATAATATGAAATATTGCTTTAACATTTCTGCATTATCGATATTATGAAAGAAAAAATGCACTGACCGCAACACCAACAAAAAAGAGAGAGAAAGAAACAGTTTGCAACAAACTTAACAAAAGCAATACCACCATGACTCAAAACAACAATAACAGCACATTTTACAAACACATCAGCAAAAGATAACAATATACACGAGCAAACACAACAACAACAAGAGAAACAACAGTAAAAATCAACAACAGTAAAAATCAACAAAATTAAAGTAAAGAACAACACCATCTTATCAACAAATAAAACAAACAAACAAACAAAAAAAAACACACCATCATCACAAACAACAACAAAAACACTAACAAAAAGAGAGAGCCTGGCACTCTCTTTTCTCGCGCCCCGTCAGCTGGCTCCGGAGACGACGGCGTGTTGGAGGCGCGATCGCTCGGCCTCCAGCGCGATGGGCAGCGGCGAGGGGCGCGTTCCTAAGGGTGCAACCTAGGGGGCTTTCGGCTTAGGGCTTCGCGGGGCTTCCTTGGATGTTGGGGAGGGAGGGAGGGAGGGTGGGAAGGAGGGAGGGTGGGGTGGGTGGGAGGGAAGGAGGGAGGAGGGAGGGTAGGAGTGGGGTGGGTGGGAGGGTGTGTAGGAAGGGAAGGAGGGGAGGAGGGAGGGTGGGAGGGTGTTTAGGAAGGGAGGGAAGGAGGGAGGGTGGGTGGGAAGGGGACGAAGGGAGGGAGGGTGGGGTGGGTGGGAGGATGTGTAGGAAGGGAGGGAGGGAAGGTAGAAGGGAGGGGAGGGTGGGTGGGAAGGGGACAAAGGGAGGGAGGGTTGGTGTTGGAGGAGGGAGGGTGGGAAGGGAAGGAGGGGGTGAAGTAATGGAGTGGGGGTTAGCGGTAGGGAGAGGGGGGGTTGGGGAAAGAGGGGGAAGACGGGGTGTAACAGGAATGGCATAATGGGGGAGGGGTAGGAGGTAGGGGTGGGGAGTGGTGGTAAGGTGGGGGGGGATGGTATCTGTGGGTGCCGTGGGGGGGGGGGGGAGTGAGTGGGAGGGATGAGGAGGGTGAAGATATCTGTGGTAGAAGTGAGGAAGTGAGGGGAGGAGAGGGAAAGGGGAAAGGGGGAGGAAAAGGAAGAGGAAGATAAACAGAGAAGAGGGAAGAGAAAGAAAGAGATAGCGATAGGGTGGATAAATGAAAGAGACAGAGACATTCTCCGCCACTGTTATCGTCCCTATCTTTAGTATCATTATCATCACCCCCATTTCCTATTCCTCTCTCCGGTACACAATTAAGAGATTGCATAATTCATTAATTCTATCAATTAAGTTGAGCATTTCACATCCATGTATAAAAAAACGAAAGCAAAAAAAAAAAAAAAATGCAAGTAAATCTTTGAACATTTGAACATTTAATAAAGCTAATGCACCTAACTCTTATGGACAAGTATACAATTAATTTGTTATAGAATACGTGCCCTGTGTATTTTATGTTGAAACAAGGCGGTTTTCCTCAACATTATTTGCATTTCACCAACAAAGGGATGAGATGTTTTTTTTTTTATTCTGTTTTAGTTATTTGTTTATATTTTTTATGGTGGGGGGGGGAGGGATTTTGCCTTTTTTTATTCTTTCACGTTTGGCGTCGCTATACGTTTCCTGTCCTTTCTCCTTCTTCCCTACTCCCTTGCCTTTTATTTTCTCTGTTCCGTTTTCCCTTTTCTTTTCCTTTCCCCTTCTCCTCTTTCACCCTTCCCCCTTGTCCTCCTCTCTCTTCTTCCGCTTCTTTCTCTAATCTTCCTCTTCTCTCCCAAATCCTCTTCCTCTTCCTCCTCCTCCCCCCCTTGCTCCTCGTCCTCTTCTTTCTCCTCCTTTTCCTCCTCCTCCTCTTTCTCCCCCTCCTCTTCCTCGTCATCCTCTTTCTCCTCTTCCTCCTCCTCTTCCCCCTCATCCTCCCCTTCCTCTTCTTTCTCCCCCCCCTCGTCCTCGTCCTCCTCTTCTTCTTCCTCCTCCTCCTCCTCCTCCTCCTCCTCCTCCTCCTCCTCCTCCTCCTCCTCCTCTTTCTCCTCCTCCTCCTCCTCCTCCTCCTCTTTCTCCTCATCCTCCTCCTCCTCCTCATCCTCTTCCTCTTCTTTCTCCTCCTTCTCGTCCTCCCCTTCCTCTTCTTTCTCCCCCTCCTCTTCCTCGTCCTTTTATTTCTCCTCCTCCTCCTCTTTCTCCCCTTCCTCCTCCTTGTCCTCTTCTTTCTCTTCTTCCTCCTCCTCCTCCTCCTCCTCTTCCTCCTCTTCCTCCTCTTTCTCCCCCTCCTCTTCCTCGTCCTTTTCTTTCTCCTCCTCCTCTTTCTCCCCTTCCTCTTCCTCGTCCTCTTCTTTCTCTTCTTCCTCCTCCTCCTCCTCCTCTTTCTCCCCCTCCTCTTCCTCGTCCTTTTCTTTCTCCTCCTCCTCCTCTTCCTCCTCCTCCTCCTCCTCCTCCTCCTCTTTCTCCCCCTCCTCTTCCTCGTCCTTTTCTTTCTCCTCCTCCTCCTCTTCTTCCTCCTCCTCCTCCTCCTCCTCCTCCTCCTCTTTCCCCCCCTCCTCTTCCTCGTCATCCTCTTTTTACTCTTCCTCCTCTTCTTTCTCCTCCTTTTCTTTTTCTCCTCCACCTCCTCACATACACAAAACCCCACATCCCGTTACTCAGTTTACCCGCAGTCCACATTCTCCTCTCCCCCCCTCCCCCTCCCACACACACACACGTCTAGAGGTCTTTGTATTGGTTCTTCCTAACAAAACTTATGATATAGTTCATAAGTTTAGTCTATCGTAGATTATTGGGGTAACAACTATGAACAGAATGGATCTCATGTTACTATTATTATTGGTCAGAGAGCTTTCATTGGTGGAATGATAATGAAAATGATGATAACAGCGTTAATCATAGTGATGATGATAATGATGATAATGAAGAAGATTATTATAATGATAGTAATAATGATGGGAATTAGGATGGTGATAATGATAAGGATTATAATATTAATAATGATGGTAATAATAATAATAATGATAATAATATTAACGATAATGATAACGATAATGATGAGTTTGATACTGATCATCATTACAATGATAATAATGATAGTAACGACAACGATAATGAATATTATCATACTAGTTATGGTGATATTGATAACAATGATGGTAATACTGATGATGATAATGACAATAATAATCCTTAAAATGATAATGATAATTATAGTGATGATAATAATAATATTAATAATACTAATAAATGGTAGTAATAAAGGTAACAATAATGATAACGACACCCACCCCCCCTTCGCCGTGTTCACAGCCGCGTCCATTCCAACTTCAAGCTCTTTACCTCGATGCCTAATCCTGCCATTCCAGCTTTGTTTACCGAAGACTCGAGTAAACTTATGAGTAAACTAAAACCATTGAGAACCCGTTTTCTATTTGGGTTTATGCCAGACCTGAGAAACTTCCGTGGTTATTGAATATTTTGTGCGTGTATGTGTGTTTTGTGTTTTATTTTGGGGGTCCATTTCTTCTTGGATCCGTTATAGAGCTGCAGCGTGGGAAATCAAGACTCCATTTCGAAAACAAGATGGGAAGATGAGTTCTGTTTGGGATTAGTTCAGTTTGCTCCCTAAATCCCTCTTCGCTTCTGCTGGTCAAGAGGACAAGAGAAAGATGCGATTTTGACGCGAAGTGAGGAGAAAGGAGACGAAGAAGAAGAAGAAAGAGGAAGTTTATGAGTGTGTTTACGTCAGTGTGCGTGAAGGTAGCGTGGAGGTGTGGACACGCTACGAGAAAAAGTGCTTTTCTTTTTTTTTTTTTTCTTTTTTTTTCTGAGTCTTCTTCCGTGACCTTTGACCTCTGAAGATGATGGGTTCGCCCGAAGGCTCCGCGAGCTGCCATGGGTCGAGATCTCCTGCGGTGCTGCTGGCGCTGGTGCTGGCGACGACGGCGGTGCAGATGCTGGTGTTCCTGCCCGCCGCCTCAGGCCTGCCGCCCATCATCAGAGTCGGTGAGTGTGGGACCGCGCTCTTGCGGGCTGCTTCCGTCGCTCTCGCTCTGCCTGCCCTCCCCCCCCCCCCTCCGTGATTCTTTTCTTACGTAATTATGGCTTGTTAGGTTTCAGATTTTTTTTTTTTTTTTTTTTTTTTTGGGGGGGGGGTGTTATATATATATATATGTATATATATATATATATATATATATATATATATATATATATATATATATATACATATATATACATATATATCTATATATATATATTTATATATATAGATATAGATATATATATATATACACATATATATACATATATATATCTATATATGTATATTTATATATATGTACATGTATACATGTATTATATATATATATATATATATATATATATATATATATATATATATATATATATATATATATATATATATATATATATATATATATAGGCTATATATGTGTATATGTGTATATGTGTATATATGTTTATATATGTTTATATATGTATATATGTATATATGTATATATGTATATATGTATATATGCATATATGTATATATGTATATATGCATATATGTATATATATATATATATATATATATATATATATATATATATATATATATATATGTATGTATGTATATAGGTGTCTGTGTTTATGAAACAGAAAGAAAGAAAATATACATATCTATTTTTACACACTTGCACGAGCACGAGCAGATCCCTCCTGATGCTGAACGTTCTCTGAGCTCTGTGTCGCGCCTAATGGTCGTCGCACGATTTTCGAGGAGGAGAGAGAGGAGATGGAGAAGGGAGAGGAACCGCAGCCACTTAAATAAGGGCCGTATTTAGAAATAGAGGGCCCTCCTGCCTCCTCCTCTTCCCTTCCCAAAACCCCTCTCCACCCTCCCCCTCCTCTTTCCCTTCCTCCTCCTACTTCTTCACTTCCTCCTTCTCCTCCTCCTCCTCCTCCTCCTCCTTCACTTCCTCCCTCTCCCCCTCCTCCTCCTCCTCCTCTTCGTTATTCCCTGCCCATTCACATCTGGTTCCGTTTCTCTTCCTCCTCCCCCATCCTCCTTGCTCCCTCTTCCCTCTTCCTTTTCTTCCTCCTCCTCCCGCTCCCTCTTCCCTCTTCCTTTTCTTCCTCCTCCTCCCCTTCCTCCTCGCTCCCTCTTCCCTCTTCCTTTTCTTCCTCCTCCTCCCGTGCCCCTCATTTTTCCTGATCCCATTCCACCTCTCCTCTGTTTCCCCTCATCTCCTGGAAACAGCGTGAGAATCATAACACAAAACGAAAAGATTGCCGTTGCCATGACTACGAGGGGAAAAGTAAGGGGGAGTAACATTCACTCCGCCTAATATTTTCAGGTGAAAGGCAAAAATAGGAGAAAAAAAAAGTTAAATGACTCATGCGCTGATACCGAGCTTTCCAGTATCGGCGAAAACGAAAAAGAATTGGGGGAAAAAGAAAGAAGGGGAGAAAGAGAGGGAATGAGAGAGAAAAATTAACAATTTGCTCTTGAATGAGTACGAATATCTCCACTGGGGAAAAAAAGAAGAAGAATTAAGTGAATTACAAGTCGGAGAGAAAAGAGAACGAGGAATAAAAAGAAGAGAGAGAGAGAGAGAGAGAGAGAGAGAGAGAGAGAGAGAGAGAAAAGGAAAAAAAAAACATTCGTATAAAATTTTCGAAAATTAATTCCGCTCTGTATCTCTCTCGTTTGATGACCAACAGACTTTAATCGAACGGTATTATAAATTTACAAAAAAATAGAATAAAAAGGTATCCTAAATCGCTAAAATATGAGCAAATGATAATGCAAGAGCCTCCGAAGACCAGCCTAGCGTGTGTTGCTATTTTGAGTTTGCAATGTGGTCGGAGTGTATAATGCAGGGCGGATGTGCAGCGGGTCTACCTTCCCGGAGAGAAATGGAGGGAGGGAGGGAGGGAGAGTGGTTGGGAGGGAGGGATGGAGAGAGAGAGGGTGGGAGGGAGGGAGGGAGGGAGAGAGAGAGGGTGGGAGGGAGGGAGGGAGAGAGAGAGGGTGGGAGGTAGGGAGGGAGAGAGAGAGAGAGAGAGAGAGAGAGAGAGAGAGAGAGAGAGGGAGGGAGGAAGGGAATGGAAGGAGGAAAGGAGGGAGGGGAGGGAGGGAGAGAGAGAGGGAATGGAAGGAGGAAAGGAGGGAGGGAGGGAGAGAGGGGTGGGAGGGAGATAGATAGAGAGAGAGAGAGAGAGAGAGGGAATGGAAGGAGGAAAGGAGGGGGGGAGGGAGAGAGAGAGGGTGGGAGGGAAGGAAGGAGGGAGGGAGAGAGGAAGGGAATGGAACGAGGAAAGGAGGGAGGGAGAGAGAGAGAGAGGGTGGGAGGAAAGGAAGGAGAGAATGGAAGGAGGGTGAGAGGGAGGGAGGGAGGAAAGGAGAGAGAGAGGGAGGGATGGAAGGAGGGAATGGAAGGAGGGTAGGAGGGAGGGAGAGGGGTAATAGAAGGAGGGAGCAAATGGATGGAGGGAGTAG